GGCCTGGTGGGCGGGGGCGGGGCCGGTGGGGCTCTTTGAGGGGGTACCCGACAGCCCGCCTGGTGCAGACAGAGCTGAGCTGGGGTCCTTCACGGGGGGACCTCGAAGAACGCTAGGCCCAGTGGGTTGGAAAACCCGGTCGCCGGAAGCGGACTCCAGTCAATTTTAGTTTCCATAAACGAAGCAATGTACTATACTTTGCATCCTCCTTTGTTATGGCAGTGTCAGCCTTCGACTCTGATTAAATGCAGGACTCTCATTTGTGGCGTGCCCCGTGCTTTCTAAATGTGGGGGTCTTTCCTGTAATGACTTCCTAAGTGATAATCTCAGATACTCACGTGCTAGTGCAGGGTCCACAGTTGGGTGGATAAGGGTCATCCTGGTTGCGTGACCTCAGCGGAGCTGTCAGACTCTTGGGAGCCCTGGTGAGCTCTGAAACCAGGATTTATAAACCAGCCCCCTAAGCGACAGCGGCGGGAGGAGGGCTGTTTCCACTCAATGCAAATTTAGGCTCTGCCCTTTACCTGTGCAACCCTGAAAAGTTACTAATTTTTTTTTCTAATGTAGTGGGGATGGAACGAACCCAGAGGCGCTTTACCACGGAGCTAATCCCTAGTCTTTTTTATATTTTATTTTGAGTCAAAGTCTCATAGCCCAGATTGAGCTCAAACTTGCAATCCTCCTGCTGCAGCCTCCGAGTAGCTGGGATTGCAGGCCTGTGCCACTGGCCCCAGCATTACTTAACCATTCTAACGCCGGCCTCCTAATTAACACCCATAAAATGGGGAATAATTATATTTGCTGTCTTCATAAGCAAATGTGGAGTTGAATGGATATGTGTGTGTGTGTGTGCGTGTAGAAAGAAAGAGAGAGGGGGCTGGGGATATAGCTCAGTGGCATAAGAGCCTGCCTGTCAAGCGTAAGGTCGTGAGTTCGACCCAGGTACCGCAAAAAAAAAAAAAAGAGAGACAGAGAGAGGGAGAGAGGGAGGGAAGAAGAGGGAGAGAGAAAGAGAGAGAGAGAGAGAGAGACTAGTGCACATGTCAGTAGTCTCTCTTTCCAAGATTCTCCTTTCCCAGCCAGTGTGACTCCTGGGTGAAAGTCCTGACCACCCAGGGGTGAGTCCAGGAGCCTGAGGGGCCAGGTGAGATTTGTAGGAGGTGTTACCTAAGGACTGAAATTGAGAGAGACAGAGATGTAAAGCCATTTGCCCACATCACCCAGTATGGAGTGACTGAGTGACTGAATGAAGGGGCCAGAGGGGATGGGGTTGAGAGGAAACTCTCCTCCCACACACCATCCCTGGGGCTGAATTGTACAAAGGGGTTGGCACCCAGAGGAAAGGTCGCCCAGCGCTGATCTGTCCACTGCTTAGGCTTATCCTTCTCTTCAGAGCTGGTGTCTGGATTCACATCTCAAATACAGGTGCCACCAGCTGCTTCAGGAAGGGGCGATGACAGAGAAGGGCCCAGCCAGACTCAGGAGCCAAGGCAGAGGGGAAGGTGCAGTAGGGCCAAGTGTCCCCAGAGGTGTCCCATAGACTGGAGGAAAAGGTCTTGGAGGAAGACCTGTGGCTAGAAAGGGAGCAGTTTGGTAGGGCGAGGGCAGAGAAGCAAGGAGAGCCTGATGTCTGCACAGTTTCAGCTGGGTCTGCAGAGGGACAACAAAAGCAGTGTGGCCAGGACCTCTTCCTGGACCCCCTCCAGGAAGGGGCCTGGAGCATCTGGGGGAGGTGGTGCATATAGTCAGTCACCTCCCCACCCCACCCCCTCTGTCTGGACACCCAGCATCTGGAGGGTGGGTATGGGTGGAGTAGGGCTCCCTGAAGAAGGACTTTGGCCAACCTAGAAAGGTCTCAGTATGCAAAGGTAAGTGGGTTATTTTTAGCCAGGCCGGGAACAGCCCAGGCCAGGGCAATAGATGAGTCAATAGCTGATCACACCCAGCCAGCTTCACCCATCCACACACTGTAAGCCCTATGGGCAGACACATTCCCCTAGACATAGTTACAGACACGCCCCATGCATATCCACAAAGGTACACACAGTAAGCACACATCAGGGACACACAGGTGCAAAGTGATCCTCCCCTCTAGGAATGTCACATGTACACAGACACACAACCACAGAGACACCCACGGACTAAAAAAGCAAACACATGTACCAGCACACACATCTAAACGCAAAAATAGGCAGATGGCTCTAAAGACAATAGGTGTTTGTATTCTTAAGTGCTGCCAGGAACCACATCCAAGCATACAGTTACCAAGACTTGCACCTGACCATCATTCCCACAGAGGCACATGGTCAAGGGCACTGTGCCTGAGCACTCAGGAGGGACCTCAACAGAGTCAGGGTGTGCAGGGACTACAGGCTCAGGTGCCTATTCACCCACACCCCTGCCAGTGAGGTATGGGAGGCTTCTCTAAAAAATTCCAGTCCTTGGAACTTTGCTGTTTAGGCAGGAACTTGTACCCAGCAGGTCAACCCAGCCCAAGTGTCAGGTGTCATCGCTCAGTTTAAATTCCTACCTGGGGGAAAGTGCAGGGGGCTGCTCAAGGGAAAGGTGGTCTGCTCTGCCCTACTTCCCTGTTCAGCCTAAAGCCCTCCATCCTTCCTGTATGCTGTCAGGAAGCTCGGGGCCCTGTCGTTCTCTGGGGACTCCGGCGTCAGGGTGTGCGTGGGGCTGGCACTTTGGGACTGATAACGCCCTCTCACTCCCATCTCAGGGCAGTGCTCTTCTCTAGTCACCTGCTGCTGTCAAACCATGGCAGGTGCGGGTTCTCGCCAGCCTGGATGTCCGAGTGCTGCGTCTTGCACCACTCCTTCCCCAGCATGGGTGAGGAACTAGCAGTTCTGGAGCAGCTTCACTGGAGCCCACCTGGTGCATCAGGCTCACTGTGAGGGGTGCTACTGTGAATTAAGCAAGAAGACCCCACAAGAGCTTCTCCCAGGCAGGGGCCTTGTCTTCCCTGTTTGCCACAATACAATCAGTGCTAAGTTTCTGGCAGAGATACAGTTGATACTAGTTGAGTGGCTACACTAATGAGACTGAGGGAAGAGGGACTATTGGTCAAGACTCCCATTGCTTGAGGGCCTAGGGGCCTGAGGCTGCAGGCCTGGCGGGCTTTGTGCCTTAGCGCTACTTCGAGATCAGTCCTAGAGCCAGGTCTGACCCTCAGCGGAGGCTGCAGAGGTTTCCAAGGGTGCCTCTCATTTCACCCGAACCGGAAGTGTGTGGAGGAAGCAGAGATCTGGAAGCTGGCGTCCAGCCCATGATGTGACCCTGGTCCCCAGGGCTGCTGGTACTTGCCCTGCTGGGAGATCTTAGGCCGCTTACAGAACCTTCTAAGTTATCACTTTCCTCCATTGTAAAGTGGAAATAATAACTACCTGTGGGATTAAAAGGAATACGCATAGATCCTCTAATCTAGCCGAATAAAAGGTACCTATTTTGTAACAATTACGATTTTAAAAGCAGCTGTAGAGGCCCCCCTGCGGGGGTGGCTGGCGGCTGTGCTTGGCCCTCCCTCCCTGGCGGGCGTGTGCTCGCAGGTGCCACTAGGCGGCGCGCTGCAGCCAACGCCTCCCCTAGAGCTGCCGCAGTCTTGAAGCAAAGGCGCTGGGCCTGTGGGAGAACTGCGCGCACGACCCCGCCCCGGGTCGCTTGGCAAAGGGTTTCTTCTTGGGTAGTTAAGGTAAAGGGACTTTCAGATGACTTGGTGTGCAGGACCTTGAGCGGGAAGGTTTGGGAAAGAGCGCACCATTCCTGCCCTGGCCCGCCCACAGCCCCTGCAGAAGGGGGGCACTTACGGTTGAAGTCCTGAACGGTTTTGCCATCTCTCCGGAATGGCATTATCACAGCCGACACCGCTGAGCACTGTCCGCGTGCCAGGCGCTGTCCTAAGTCCCTTCCATGCTGACAACCTGTGCGACAGGTGCTGTCATTTCCCCGTTCCGCCAAGGCAGGGAACGAGGCACGGAGCCGTGTCTCGCCTACGGACCCACCCAGCTAGCTCACGGTGCAGCGGGGAATCCCAGCCAGGCAGAGTGCATCTCAAGCTGGTACTCGTGTTTTTAAAAAAATGAGACGAAATTTACATATTTTATGTAAATGTTGCATAAATTTTCCATTTTAACCACTTTAAAGTGCACAGCTCTGTGGTTTTTAGTATATTCGTGATGTTGTGCAATCAACTCCACTATCTAATTTGGAAAGATTTTCATTATCCCCCAAGGAAGCCCCCTTCTATTAGGCAGTCACTCCCTATTTTCCTCTCCTCCAGCCCCTGGCAACCACTAATCTGCTTTCTGTTTCTATGGATTTGCCTATTCTGGACATTTCCTATAAATAGCATCCTATAATATGTGGCCTGGGTCACTATACCTGGACTCTAGACCTCTGCTAAATTCTGAGACAGCCTTGCTCCCTCACTTGTTCCCCCATTATCTCCTTTGCCCTGAAGGAGGCCTTCCCTGGGGTACTCAGGCTGGCAAGAACTTAACTACAAAAGCCTCAGGGCCAGGCAGATCTGGGTTCAAATCCTGACTGTCTTGGACAATCTACTTAACGTCTGAGCTGGCACACCTCAGTATAGCTTAGGGGTGTCAAACTGCCCTGGAGAGGGGGTGCTGGGAACTAGACCAGGGTGAGAAAGAAACCATAAACATGGAGAGAACTGAGGAGGGATTGCAGGCAGCAGCATGAGCAAAGGCCCCGGGGCAGGAAGGTGTGATCAGGAAGCTGCCAGATTTTGGTCCTTCCGTTGAAATAGCATGACCAGATGCTACAGGAAGAAGAGTCTGGGAAG